CAGGTCATGATCTCGAAGTCTGTGAGTTCGAGCCCCGCATCGGGCTCTGTGCTGACAGCTCGGAGCCTGGAGCCTGTTTCAGATTCTGTGTCTCTTTCTCTTTGACCCTCCCCCATTCATGCTCTATCTCTCTCTGTCTCAAAAATAAATAAACGTTAAAAAAAATTTTTTTAAATAAAAATAAAACTGATTGGTCCAAGGTCCAGGAGGGTAGACAACAGATAGACAAATCCATCCCCAATGACAGACCCACGTTGGGAAATATACAGAATGCCTACTCAGGCCTGATCCTGGATAATCCCACTGCTTTGATCTTGGCCACTAGTTTTGTTAAGTTTGAGGCCAGAAATTAGAGAGACGATCAAAAACATGATGTGAGGGACGCCTGGCTGGCTCAGTCCAAAGAGCATCGAGAGCAATTCTTGATCTCAGGGTTGTCAGTTCAAGGCCCACGTTGGGCGTAGAGATTACTTAAATGAATAAAGAAATAAAAACTTAAAAAAAAAAAAAAACCGTCACATGAGCTGGAGAAATACCTTGATTGCAGAATTCCATGAGGTTAGTCCAACATCAATCATGAGGATGCCGGGGCACATCAAAGCAAAGCCACACAGTGTTACTTAAGGCCCCACACCTTGAATTTGAAAAAAAAAAAAAAAAAAAAAAAAAAAAAAAAAAAAAAAAAAGCCCATTCTGTCAGGGCCATTGGATACTACCAACCCTGATCTTTTTTAATTTTTTTTTAACGTTTATTTATTTTTGAGACAGAGAGAGACAGAGCACGAACGGGGGAGGGTCAGAGAGAGGGAGACACAGAATCTGAAACGGGCTCCAGGCTCTGAGCTGTCAGCACAGAGCCCGACGCGGGGCTCAAACCCACGACCCCCATGACCCCCACGATCCCCATGACCGTGAGATCATGACCTGAGCCGAAGTCGGCCTCTTAACCGACTGAGCCACCCAGGCGCCCCCTACCAACCCTGATCTTGATAGAGGTGCTTGTAGGGACTATAAAGAAAAGGGACACCAAATTCGAGGGTTAAGATTTAGTCTCCCCAAGGATCCCCTTCTGACAGGCTTTCTCCGTGTCCATAAATACCCCTCAAGACTTTGGCACATGGCTAGGCCAAGACCTGTAGGCCATAAATAAGAGTCAAACCTGGGTCGCTGCGAGTTCCCAATCCGAACACTGTCTCTGCCTCTCTATACCTTCCGGCACCACCCAGCTTACCTTACGAACGCCTCGTCTGTCTACACATTCTTTCATTTCCCTCTACGTCCAGATTCTCCATCTTTTTGTTCTCACCCGGGAAAGTCCACAATGCACAGGGACAGGAGTGCCTCAAGAGGTCACGGAAACCCCCTCTTCCTTTCCGGGGACCCTGAATGCTCATTTGAGGGGTGTGGTTCCCCTTGCCATACCCACCCACCCCCAAATCCAATATGTGGATGATCCCCCCACTCGGCTCACTCACTGACACTCAACACGTACCCCCCCAGAGACACGAGGTGTCTAGGGACGCATTGCCACGACGTTAAGCCACAAGCACCCGACTTCCGCACCCGAAGGCTCACGGTAGCCACAGGAGGAATTTATCCCATCGTTCGTGGCATCTCGACCCAAGACTAAAACGCAACTCCAGTGGTTTCTGAGGCTGTGATGGGTTGAAGTGTGTCCGCTCCCCCGACCCCAGAAAGATAGGTTGAAGTCTTATCCCCCCATCCGTCAGCATGTAACCTGATTTGGAAATAGGATGGGTTGCAGGCAGATTGAGCCTTGTCTCACGTACCCCTCAAAGACTCCTTCTAACTCACCGCCTGGTTGTGACAGTAACCTCTCCCTATCCCTAGCATCGATGAGTCAGGATTTCTGGGCTCCTTCGCATCCTGCCCCTTCATGGGACTCAGTCTCAGACCATAACAACCCTAACGGCAGGAACCACCTCCCCACTGCACTCACCCAGATTTTCCAGCTATCAAAACACTACCGACCCCGAGTCAACCGGGGCCACTCATAATTTCTCTTGGCAACAAGCGGCATCACCCCTCCTGTGACTCATTTCATGGCCCCGGTCCCGTCCCTACATCTTCTCCTTGGTGTCCCAGCTTCAATCAGCATTTATTGGCTGAGCCCCTCAGCTAAATGAGACAATTATTTCCATGAGTC